TGATGGATATTGTGTTAGAATGTAAGACTTCATAATTTTATACTAAAATCCAATAAGTCTTAAAAATAATTTCAATCATTTCCACTGTGTGGCTTTCTTGGTGTATTTAGATGTACCTGCTGATAGTATAAATATTCTTTGCAAATATTCAGTTCAATAGGAAAACAAAAAAGCAAAATACTTTAAATCATCATTTTTCCACATAAGAAATTAAACCATTGTTCAAGTGCCTCTGCTGAACATGACTGCTGCATGAAAAAATTTTAGCCCAACATTATGCCTCTTCCTTGAAGAAGGAAAAAAAGGATTGCTACTATAATAGTGTTTATATGTAGTTAGTCTAATGTGATAGGAGTTGTTAGTTATTTCTGGGCCATAAGTCCAGGCTCACTACAGTCAAGAACAGAACTCCAGTGATTTGACTGGATATATTTCATTTTCAATCCACTTCATAGCCCTGTAGAGTTAATGACGTTTTTTAAAAAAAATACACTCACTTTTTAAAAAGTATTTAAACTCATTTGATGGTCTTTTTAAAACACCCAGGAGTGTAATATCATAAATAAAAGTGAGTATCAGGGTTGATTATGTTTTAAAATGGTGTATCAAAGATTCTTCTCAATTATATGAGGGAATAGATAGCTCTGCTGTATCAACACCACCAGACCATTTTTTCTTTGTTTCTATCTTGAGATTTCTTTAGAAATCCTTGTACACCTTGTTTTTTATTACCACTGATACCAGAAGTAAGATACTCATTATTCTCAGGGGTATATAATTTGGATGCATGTGTATTTCCATATTAAAATGAACATGGAAATAATAGATTAAGGTAGGGTAGGGTAGGATAGGGTAGACTAGAATAACTGGAGAGGCCTATGCTGATCAGTAGTTAACCGCCTGACCACTTCAGGGCTTACCAGAATGTAAGGCATATTATTAAGGGCACTGTACAAAGACCTCTTAGCACTTGGACATATACCTCTTGGCATATCTTTAGACAGTAAAAGTATGCTGTACAAGCCCTCACAAGAAAAAGTTCTAAAATATCTCTCACCATGTTTGCATATACTCAAATAAAAAATATACAGCCTCAAGTAAAGGATGTAGTTGGTATAAATTATAGAACAAGTCAATAGCACTAACAGCATTGTTAAACTCTGAATTCTTACTGCATGAAACACAAATAGTAGGAAAGGTCAAAAATATCAGATTATCCTGTACTACTTTAGTTATGATGAAACTAACTGTACTTAAATGTTTAAATAGAAAATAAACAAACAAAACCCCAAACACAGCCCAAAACCAACCAAACAACAAAAAACCCTAAAAACAAACAAAGAAGAGAAAATACCATGTTTATATCATGTTTAATTTCCTTCCTGGACATCTGAAAAACATAGATCATACTAGAAACTGTAATTGCAGTATCTACAAGACTTGCTACTGAATGCTCAGCATCTGAAGCTCCTAGATTTGACTGAACAAAAGCGGTTAGGGATCTTTTTCTTCCCCCTACTTCTGAATAAGGGAGGGGATAAACTTTTCTGAGCTTGACCGTTCGATTTCATTAGAACTAAGGACCCAAAAGGTGCTGTGTTTTTCTTCCAACTACCCTTTCTCAATACATTTTTCATTAGACTATCAAGGTATATCTTGAAAATTAGTTTCTTGTCCTTCATCTACTCCCTCCTCCTACAAGAACTTCATTGTTACAATATCAAGAACTCTTCTTGTTCATGTCTTTACGATATCTTAGTTTAGTAGTATATCTTAGTATATAAAATATTTGTATATGTTATATACTAACCTGTCCTTATTTAGGTTCTCCACATACTGGCATTCACTTCCTGAAAATGTATCCTTTCATCCTGTCTTAAATTTTATTTTCTAAATTGGGACGATAAGAAAAATGTAACACCATTACAGTACTTTTATTCATCTGATTCAGTTTGAATTCTTCTTGATGAGGAAACCATAATCATACATAGTATTCCTCATGAGATCTCACTACTGCCTTATAAAATGGTAGTTATACTTCCCTACCTCTAATGAAAATATTTCACCAAAGGCACCTAGGATTTCTTTTACCTCTCTCAAATAATCAAAACTCAAAGTCACCTCCTCTTCTGTGATTTCCAACTAATAAGCTTAGAGAAGAAATTCTTCAGACAGCTTTTGACACAAAATTATTGTTGAGGACGACACAGTAAGTTTGGTACAATTATTCACATGTAGCAGTTGAATTTTGGATACATATAAACGTCTAATTCTCTCTCTACATCTCATTCATGCATATACTTAAAAAAAATGTTTACAAAACAAAACAGTATTGTTATCATCTGCTCATTCTGAAAGACCTTATTACCAGAACAATCCCATGGAAGCCAAATGTTCTACTCTTTTTCTGTAGCTATTTTGCATCAATGCTAATAAAACTGCACTATTCTGATCTTGCTAGCAATATTCTCAAAAAAGCCTAAAATTAAGACTATATGTACAATACATTTTTACAGTTTTAAATATCCACATATATATAGTAATTTTTAGTAAATTATATTTATTATATTAAATTTTATCTTCTTGAGCATTAGATAATTTGCATAATTTTTAAGTGTAATTCTTAAATTACAGTCAAGAGCACAGAAAAAAATGTATTTCTAAAGTAAAATCTAATTTTAATATTGATTAAATAGAGAAATAATTTAAAAAGTAATTTATATAAAATTCTAAATTAGCTCATCTAAAGTTCCATAGTAATTGAATATGCAGTGCAAGAAAGTTTTTAGGCTTTTGTGTACATTTCATTGTCAAAGAGAAGTTTAAATACTTCAATAGTAAGCTACAGGAAAGAGTAGAAACGCCTGTGAAATATCCCTCTGTAATAGAAATTCTTTCAAGTCAAATAACAATGGTCTCACATTCACAAAAATTCCTTCAAAATATGCCTTTGTCTTTGTAATAAAGAATATTTTATGGAAGACAGTTGCTGGTTATTTACTGAGGGTCATTTGATATGTTTTAATGACAGTTATAAGTATGTTATCAAATATTGGTGTTTGCCAAGTAAAAATGGCAAATTTTTCCTCAGTATATGCATACCACTGTAATAATAGGCACACATATGCTGTTCTGTATGACACAATAAAAAAGAAACTAAAGATTTTCTATAAACAATGTTAGCAAAATCAATACTTTTAATGTCACGGGGGAATACAATGCACACAGAAGTAGGTGTGAGTTTTCTTCTCCAATAAGGTCTTTACAATTCTGAGTTACCTGTATATGGGTTGTCGTACCTTTTCAGACCTTTGGTACTACTTTATTATGTGACAAATAAGCACTATCACATTATCTTATCAGCATCTTGTCTCAAAATTATTCTTTCTTTTCATAGTCTAATGTTTAGCACTTCAAAATGACAACATAATTTAGAAGTATGTGCCTTATCTATATCTTGTATCAAAGAATAGGTCAGAGAAGAGAGGGACACTGAGAAAGCAGTGGAGAGGACACTTCAGTGTAATAATTCCAAGCATGAAATGAAAAAAAAATTCCTGCCTATGACATTTAACTGCCAAATTAGTACACTCATTTATCTTTAAAATAGAAGATATTATTACAGGCCCTCAGATACTCTCTCTCTTAACTGGAAATAAGCCTGCTTTTCTTAACTGTATCAAAGATATTCTAAAATGAATGCATATCCACACAACCAGTACAAACCAAACTGTTGATTAATTTATACCAGTCAATAACCAGAAAGTACTCCAGATTTGTACTGAAATTAATACACATTAAATATAAGCAGCTGTTTAGTGATTTATATTTCATATGCAAACCAAATGCTGTGTTTCTTTTTCAGTTGTTCTACTTAAATTACATATTTTAAAATTCTGAAGAACTGCAGCTCTACTGTATCAAAAGATGTTAGTAAACGAAGCAATGAAACTTATACTAGATGACTATTCAGTATGACAACAGATTCCAATCCAATGAAGTCTTTACAAAATTTCAGTCATATAATGAGACTTCTGCAAATTGCTTTTGCTATAAAAGATGTTTCTCCTCCATATATATTTCATATTGGTGTTTATAAATTCTTCATGTACAATTGATTAACATGAAAAATTCAAAATACATAATAAATTATATTCAACAAATACCCTGCAAAATTAATCTGATCCTTCTCTGAACTTGTGTATGTGTAAAAAAACACCACATGTGTTTTTTTCTGAATGTCTGCTGATAAGACATTGCAGCATTACTTTTTCTCATCCTCACATTTCAGATATTGGCATTTACCCTTTAACAGCAAATAATGCTTTCTCTTCACTCCAAATGTTGTTCATTATTGATCGTTTCGCATACGGATTAAATAATCTGAGTATAGGAACATACAAAATCCTTAGCTTTACCACTTTAATACTTGCAACTGAATTTCCTAGTGTTCTAAACATCACCTTGATCATTGATTTCATGTTTGATGGAATGAAAACGTACAGGTTTTTTAAAAAGCCAAAATTTTGCTGAAGGTTTAAGCAGAAGAGACATGAGTACAACTGCATCACCTACTAGTTTAGAACAGCAGCTATTTATAAAGCACATTTTTTATGCTATAGTTAATTACGTCTAAACACATATGCAGAATAGATTAATATCCTAATCTCAATTCTCTAAACTTTCATCAGATGTTACTTACACTAGGCTTTATTATGAAATATAATGATATAAGCTGTAAAGTGGCATCAAAAGAAAATTCCTTATCTTTTCCTTTTGTCTTTTTATGAATCAAATCAATTAAAATTACCACGACAATATTATTACTAACTTCATTTTTCCATTTGGCTGCCCCATTAGAATGCAAATTTAGGCAGATTTAATCCCTTTCCCATTTGGTTCAATTACATTTCCTGAAGGGATACCTGAACTTTCACTTTTAACTTATACAAAATATTTTTGCATAACTACATGGGCACAAGTAAAATAATATCCAATACCTCTATGAGTAACAACAGCAAGTTCTTTAGTTCTTTCTATCTGCTCAGCATTTCTTGGTCGTCTTCTTGAGCTTTGTAAACTTGCTTGATGAAGACAGAGTTCTTCCTTGTTAGTGGCCGACTCCAGAACTGATTTTCTTACATTCATAGCTTGCACTTGTTGTTCTTCAGAAGGTTGTCTACGGGTGGTTACTGCACTGGATACAGCAACATCAGCAGATGTGCTAGCAACAGTAATGGCACCAGTAGTGGCCGCAATATGCTCCTCTAACTCACCAGTGGAGGCAGTTTTGATGAAAGAAGAACCTGTGGGACACACAGTAGCACTGGATGCTAACTCTTTCTTTTGAATTCTGTTCTCCTGATCAATCTAAAAGATTAAATTTCCCTCTGTTTAACATAGTAAAGACAACTGACATGAAAAGAGGAAAGTCAATATGCTTTATTTAAAAATTTGAAGCAATCAGAACACTGTTTAATGCTAGTGAACATTTTGTAATTATAATGATATTGAATGTTAAGTTTTAAATGTCCTCAAAACTTTATAGTATAAACTCTTGTACCAGGCATAATGACAGCACATAATTTTCACCTCTGCAAATTCAGTCCTGAAATCAGCATAGCTAGAGCACAACTACAGCTATATCATTAAAAGTACCCCCACGTGTAGAAAAGTGATAACCATCCTATCGAGGAGTGAAACAGCAGCATTAATTAGTAACCTAGGCAGCAGGCAAAGCTTCCGTACTCCAGCTGCTAATAAAGCTGCCAAATACGTTCATTCTTTTCATCAAAGCTTGACAGGGCTTTAAAAGCCCATTTAGACTTGACACAAGGCCAAGGGTAGATGGATAATGAAAAGTACACATTTAAACAAATCATCTCAGCATAATTATTTATACTTAAGATTGTGCAGAGGCTTCATGTGTAATTCTCTTTCTGCTCTCTTATTACTGTAATAGGCCAGATTATTTTACTCAAAAACCCTACTCACTAAATGTTTGACAAGCTAAAAAATTGTCTATGAAAACATTAAGTTAGCACTTCTAACTTTTTTAGTACTTAAAATGTATAATCCATGTAGGATTTTTCAATATTTTCTTAACATTTTCATCCTTCCCCATTCCCCACATTTGACTGCAGATGTTTGGAAGCCAAGTCTCTCACCTGTGAGCATTTATAACATCTAACACAGTAGAAACTCCATCTTGACTGGAATGAATAAATGGCTGGGCAATGCATAACAAAATTCACCATAAAAATTTGCATAAACAAACTTAATGTAGCATGAACTGCACTATGTTATACTAGTATCTTTAAAATATTGCTTTTTTATTCCAAAATAATGATTAAGGGCTCTTGAACAATCATTCAAACAATAATGTTCCACACTTCTATTTTTGCTTTTGAGTTGTCCTCTCACACAGCCTTTGAGACTTGTCCTTAAAGTGTAGTGGGTGACTTCAGGATGAAAAGAAGTTTTCCCACTGTTAGAAAAACCTATACACTAGAAAATGGGAATAAGACTCCCAGAGGAACTAAGCAATATATATAATTTTTCATGCACAAGGCATATCAGATCTCTGATCAGAATTCTCCAATGTCCTGTATAAATAAATGTAACAGATCCTCATGTCAAAAATACTCAGTCTTGCTAATAAAGTCTCTATTGTTTACTGCAGAAATTTTAGGCTAAAAATGTATAATTTCATTATACTATTGAAAAATACAACCATAATAGAAAACTTTAGTATTATATAGACAAGTAATAAAGCTGCTGTAGGTACACATTATTTTTGCTATCTTACATTTATTGTCGTAAGATCTCTTGTGCAGTACAGCACTTCGAAATCATACAGTGGTGGTTTCCTCTGCAAAACTAAAACACCTTACAAGCACCATGTAAGACTCCAGGTTAATAGGTCAGAGACCAAACCAAAAACTACTTATGATGACAGGGGTATAAGTAACTAAAATAGACCTAGACATGTTTTATTCTTTATTTCAGAATAAAAGAAGAAAACTGTCACAACAATGTATAATATCAAAGGACTAGACTGTTTATGATTCAGTATACAATAAATTTTGACAAATTGGTATCAAGTTTAAAACACAGAAAATATAAATGCATGACCAAGAGATATTTTGTAACAGAAAAATGTAGATTAAAAGAAAGAAAACTTAATGTATGTTACATAACCACTACTATTAAAGCAAAATCTATGAGGATGCACCTTTTTCATGCAAGAAAATGTACAAGAACAAGCAGTCACCTGCTTCCAATACCAAGCTCAAAGCAAAATTTGATTCAGAATTTCAGTCAAATTACCTGTTCTATGCAAATGTTTTAAAGAGGTACAGTACTTCAAATGAAAACAACTTAAAATAAAAATCTAAAAAGAAAAAAAAATAAGAAAATTAAACTTGATTAAAGCTGCAGAGCTTATACATTGAAAAGTAATATTTTGATACAGAGGCAACTTTCAAGAAGAACACCTAACTTGCTAGGCTTTCACATCCACTTACACTGTAGAAAAGAACCCATAAAGCAGATCAGTAAAGTCAAACAGCATGGTTTAATTTACAGGGAGGATTTTTGAGAGAAAATTAATGTATGTTATTTATAAACAATCTTGTAAGTATCAGCTAGAATGTATAGAATATATCCATTGATGTTTCTCTAATTACAATTTATAAACTGTAAAAGCCTGAACTTCAGTGTCTTAGTATTTTATGAAAAGTTTTAGACCAATTCAAACACCTATGTTATATGGGCATTGTAACATACTATCCATTTCAGTCATCTGCAGTCACATCTGACATTTCAGTTTGTTAAAGAGATTATTTTTAAAATTATATTTTCCTATACGATCCAAAATATATTCACAAATTACTTTACTTTTAAAATTGTGGTTAAAAAGAAAAAGGAAAAAATAAAGAAAAAAATGGAAAATAAAATCTAGCAATGATAAATGGCAGAAGATAGAAGAAAGGAAGACTGAACTCTGCTTATTGGGAAAAGTTTAAACCAACAATTTTCAGTCAGCTGAAGTCATTTCAGAGGTAGGTCATAGCTTTGAATTCACAATCAGCAACTGAGAAAATTTGAGGCTTGAGGAACTGCCAGGCTGCACCATACAAAGAAACAATAAGGATACGGGGGTAAAAAAGAGAAATTGTTGCTCAGGGCATGTGTTCACAAACAAAGAGAACCTGACCAACCCAGCTGAGACCTACTAGATTGGACAAGCATTTCTCTAAGTGAGTCTCTGTGGAAGGAGAACATATTAAAATCACTAAAACCAAGGAGCTTTCATGTATTAAATTAGCCTGCTTACACAAGGAAAGATTTGAAGTGATAGTTACACTAAAAATTCGTAACTATGTAGAAGTGGAAAGAGATCAAGCTGATGATCTACAGAGCAATTCAGTTCAGAAAACTAGTCTGAACAAAACACTACTCAAAAGTGTTGTAACTGCTAGAACTTAGGATAATGCAAACATATGGGAGACCCATAAGTCTTTCTATTTATATAGGAGTGGAAGTTGTTCTTGATTCCAGGTTCATTTTTAGTAAAGGAAAGAGGCATTAGCCTTTGACATTTGCCTGAAACATAGCTCTAAAAATAGACTATGAATCTGTGCTAGATACACACACTTTGCATATGCAATATACTACAAGTATACACAGGGTTCCTGTTGTAAACATGATAGCAAAGAAATTTACCCCAGATAAACTCATAGTGTAAGTCCTCATTTAAATTAACCTAATGGACTAATTATTACAATTACTGAGGGAAATAAACTAGGGAGATAATAAATACCTTTGCCCACTATGTGGAAGCACTCACCAGGAAAAAAAAAAAAATTAATGCAAAAAAGGGTATCTAATAGATTAAAAATACTCATTTAAAAATATCATTTTATTTTCCCTTTTAGAAGACTATAATTTGGGAAAGTTCTTATTCCATGTCTCCTCTTCTCCAGATTGAAAAAGCCCAGCTTCCTCCTCCTCTCCTCACAGGGCAAGTGTTCCAACCCCAACCACCTTGGTGGCCCTCCACTGAACTTACTTCAGTGAAAAACCCTCTTCCCTGTCATGGGGCTCAAAACTTGATGCATTATTCCAGCTTCGGTCACAGGAGTGTGTAGAAAAGGACAATAATCCTTCCTTTTAGTGTGCTGGCTACAATCTTATTAATGTAATTCAAGATGCTGTTGGCCTTCCTTGCTGCTAGGGCACACTGCAGGGCCGTGCTCAGTCTGCTGTCTGCTGCAACAGGCTCTATTAAGCAGAGCTCCTTTCTATCAGACAGTCCTGTTGCCAGGTGCTCTTCCTACTCAAGCACAGGACTTTACAGTGGCCTTCTTTGAGTTTCATAGGATTCCTCTTGGCTCATTCCTCCAGGTTTTCTGTGCCCCTACGGCAACCCTGTCCTCGATTATACTGACTGCTGGTCCTCAATTGTAATGATGGACATTTTGGTTTCATCTGCAAATCTAATAAGAATGCACTCTGTCCTTCATTCAAGCTCATGGATAAATACATTGAATAGAACTGGAACCAGAACAGATCCTGTAGTACTAAACTTGTTACTCGACTCTAGGTAGAGAGTCTGGCCCATTTATGACTATTCTCTAAATTTAATTTTTTTAACTGCAGTGGTGAAAGAACAGATGAAAACAAGCAAATTGTTAATAAGACCAAAAAAATGTAATCTAAGGCTAATATCCAACAGCTATTCTAATTAACCAGAATTAATTTTGTTTATTAATTCCTACAAACCAAGTTGAGTTCAATTTGGAAAGCAAACAGGGATATTCACTATCTTATTTATTTAGGATGAATTCAAGATACAGGACTTTATTAGTCCTTGTGACACATATGATCCAGCCACAGACTTCCCAAGCAAAGCTAAAGATCCTTAATGCAGATGACCCTAAATGGAACTCAGATGATAGCAAAGTGCTAATGAGGTGTCTGACATGAGGTCAGCCTGGGACATTTCCTGTGTATCTTACTGGCAAGTAAGCCACTGTATTGTTTTGCAATAGGTAATTGAGAAAGAAGTTTAGATTGTATTCACCAAAAAGTAAAATGCATATCTCATTAAAGAGAAAAAGAACCGGTTAAAATTAACTATGGAATTTAAAAATGAGTAGTAACCATCTTCATTCTTCTTTCAGATGTTCAAGGACTTTTAGTCAAGACTTATTTAGCTTCCTTAAAAACTTCCTATACTTAACTAAGTTTGGAGCGGCTAGTGTATCCTATTAAGGAGACTTTTTTTTCTCTCTTAATTAAC